CCCCGGGGCTGGGGCCGCCCGTGCACCAGGCGCCGGTGCACATCCAGCACCTGGGCCTCCAGTGCGCCGCGCGCCGGGGGCAGGGCCGGCTCAGGTTGTCGGCGGGCGCCCACGAATGCCCCAGCGGGCACCATGGCGCCCACGGGCACCGCATTGGGGACCACTGGCATAGAGCTCAGGCCCCTAAGAAGGGACTGTGGGTACTCGGGGGAAAGAGGGGCACAGGAGGCTTAGCTGATCCCCAGGGCTGGCTGCGGTGGTAAGGGCTGCGCTGCCCAGGTGATAGCTCCCTGGGGCAGCTAGCTCACCAGCAAAGAGCCTTACCTGTGTACAGTGGCCAACAATATCTAGAGGCCTGTCCCTAGCTGGTCACTCTCTTACTAGTGCACCCCCTCCCTCACTCCTGCAAGGTCATTCAGCAGTATAACTGCCTGCTAGCAGACTCCTCCCTTTGTGTTTTATGAGTAACAATCATATTCTAGGCAAATCCCATTGTCCTCGCACAACCAAGCCCTTACCTTGGTGTAAGTTATGATAAGAGGAAGCTGCATACCAATTTTGGTGTTCCATTTAAGAGGCATTCTTGAACAGATTCACAGACAGACATACAGACACAAACTCTCTCAAATATATAATAGATAATCTTTAAAAAAGCAATATATAAGATCTGCCATCAGATTTAAGCACGCAAACTAGCTATTTCTTATATTTGTTTAATTACAGTTTCTTTGTGGTACTTAACAAGTGGTCCAAAAGCTATTTTAGTTCTCAACAACAAATAATTTCCAGGGCTCGACAAATAATGCAATCTATTCACCCGTGGCGAGTAGATTGCAACCCGGAAGAGCCGGGTTCCAGCAATCTGCGCATCTGCAGAACGATCTGTGCATGTGCAGATTGCCGGACAGTGCGGCTGGTGAGCGGGGATCGCCATGGTTCGGCAAGCCCTGATAATTTCAAACCTGAAAGTAGACTCACATGTCAACACTAGCATTCTCAATAGCCACTATTGACATGGGCAGTATTTCCTGAATTCATAAACAAGTGCAGGTATTTAGTTAAGGAAAAGAGGCCTTTTTCTGGTCCCCTTAATGACTGCTGAAATTCATGCACAACTGGAAGCAACCAGCTTTAAATTGTTGATTTGCTCTCCTTAGTGCCTCCCTCCCCCAAATACTCAACAATTACATCTACACTGCAGGCTTCTTGTGCAAAAGTTCTTGCACAAGAGAGCATCCACACTGCCATGCTCTCTTGCACAAGAAAGCTCAGATGGCCATTTTAGCCATAGGGGTTTCTTGCACAAGAAATTCATGTTGCTTGTCTACACTGACTTCTTGTGGAAGAGCCCTTGCACAAGAGGGCTTATTCCTCATAGGGAGAGGAATAATTCTTCCGGAAGAAGCCCTGTTTTCCGACGCTGTACTGTAAATTTACTTGCGCAAGAATGCGCGTGCAGTATAGACACCCAGCGAGTTTTTGCGCAAGAACATCTATTCTAGTGCAAAAAGCCTGCAGTGTAGATGTAGCCAACAGGTTTAGCAAAGTCAGTTGGCAGTGGTTGTGGTTTATCTAGAGGAGTTAAAAATAAAAAAGTCCCTTGAAAGTTTAAAAAGAAATTGGTTCTCAGAAGAAAAAAACAGTCCAAGAGCTTATGGATAAACAATCTATAACCATGATTTATTTTCACTTTGAAAGTTGGTTGAGCTGGGAAAAAAGGGTTCACAGATACACCTCACAGAAGGAAAAACTTGCCCGGATTTTAAATGCGCACACAGAAGGAAAAACTTGCCCGGATTTTAAATTGCTATATGCGCTGAAGATGTTTCATATAAAACCCTCCACTCTTGACAATATCAGATAATTTTTTTCCATACAACATTTATATATTATGAACAAAGTCTATTTTATAAATACTTTAAAACAAAGTAAGTTATAATCTTGCAGCTGAGAACAACATCTGTACAAAATGTAAGGAACACATATAAAATGATTAAGAAAAGTGCAAAATACAACAGTAGCAAGAGCTTCCACTTTTTACAGTATTTATGGTTCAAATGTGAACAACTAAGAGGGATACATGAGCCCAGAGTGGTAGCTAATGATTTTGAAGAAACAGTACTGAATGTTGCACACTCAATGAGAAGCCATTATTCAGTTATTTTGCTTCCTTCTCACCTCAGCACCTCTAATTTCCAGTTTTTAAAACAAATTTTTTCACAAACAGAAAGCCAAAGTTTTACTTGAAGTATTTTCCACCTTTTAAACGAGTTTAACAAAGAAAAATTCCTAACCAGAGACCAAGCTCATCAACCGTAGATAAAAGGCCACGGGAAATTCGTTTAAGACTGACATTTAAAAGGTGAACATTGATACTTTAGAAGATGTTAATACAAAATGTTTTAGGTCCTGATCCTGTAAATCCTTTCATGTGGTTATCTGAATTTAGTTCTGCCTTTATGTGTAAGGCCTTAGTTCTACATGTCAGCTAGTGATCTTACTAACAAGCAGCAGTGGGAGCCTTTTTGGTGGGGGAAGGAGGTAAACTGTGTGTCACAGTTGAAAATGTGGTTTTGAATTAAAAAACAAACAAACAACAAAACTAGTCAATTTCAGTCTTCAAAAGTTATTCTAAGAACTTAGAATTGTGTAGGATACTTTAAATGTTCTGAAATATTTAATACTTGCCAAAATGTTTCTTTTTTAAAGTATTTATATTCCCTTTTAGGCACTGAAAATATTCACAATATAACTGGTGTGCAGAAGAGTCAATCTACTGTCAGTAATACATGTTGAATGCCCTGTAATTAATTCTGTGGTCTGTGAATAAAATTCTGTTTATGAGTGTTAAAAATAAATTAGCACAATGCTTGGATCTTGCTGACTTGAGCTCAATGCAGGACATAACTGGGAAAGGATGGAGAGAGGTAGTATTTTAAGTTTCCCTTCTGGCTTTCAGCTTCTGAATACAAAGGGGCCAAAGCAGAACTGGACCTAAATGCAGTGCAACCACCTCAGATTTCTTTTCTTTAAATTATAAAAGAAGAGCTTTATGTATCTGTACTGGCCTTTTAGGTAAATATGATTAACAGATCAGTATCAAGTTAAACTATTTTTCATTTAATATAGGATACAACCTGAGATATGACTTTAAACCAACACTTTTGAGAAAGCTACAATGTTTGGTATTTAAAGTCTTCCCAGTTCATGTTCATGTTCTGCACTAAGAAGTTCAAACATTAAATACGTTTATTTTTTTTCTCCTTACCAAGTACCTTTCTCTGATGTAGGAATTATCAGATGGGGAAATAGAAAAGAACAGATGGGAAAGCAGGTAGAATGTGATATAGAAGCAACTGTGGAAATCAGTTTATCAAGTCACACTGCTTCACATGATCACGTCTAACTCCAAAGTGGAGGTGATCAAATGAAATTGTTTAAAGAGGATAAATATGTTTTGCTAGCAGCTAGGAAGTTTGGTTCAGTAAGTGTTTTTCCCCTCAGCTCTTGGCTTTACAGGTTAAGGTGGTCTTCAGTGATTTCATGTACTGTCTGAACTACATGTTGTGTATACAATGATGTCCAATATTTTGAGGCTTGAGTTCTGTTCTGTAGGGTATACGAAGGAACTTTCTGCACAACTTTTTAATCAATGTAGCTCAGAAGTTCATTTGCCTCCATACATTCGCTCGATATCATTGAGGTAATGGTTCTTTAACTCTTTCCTTTTCAATTTGAAAGCATCTGTTACTAAACCAGTCTCTGGGGTCCATGGTTCAGGGCTTAATCGTACTTTGATTGGTATTTCAAATCTTTCTAATTTCACTGTAAGGGCAATAAAAACAAACACTTATGATTACGTTCATAGATAAAACACTGATTTATACAACTTAATGAACAGGACTAAGATATATTCAATCATCTGCTGTAGTATATAGTGCAATAACTTTAGACCAGTGGTCCCCAACGTGGTGCCCGTGGGTGCCATGGTGCCCACCAGGGCATTTATGCGTGCCTGCCTGGTGACCAGGGCTGGCCCAAGCCATTCTTGTGCCTCGAATGCACGGCACCCACCCCAGGCGCATGGTACATGCGTGGTGCCGCTCCTGTGTGCGGCCCCTGCCCTGTGCATGCACGGTGCCAGCCCCGGGCATGCAGCGCATGTGCGGCCCTGCCCCTGGGTGCCTGGAAGCCCCAAAAGGTTGGGGACCACTGCTTTAGACAAACAGTCAGGAAAGCAACACACTGAAGAAAGAAAATGAAAACTTTATGGCTGTAATAGTATTTGCCATAACATCCAAGGATTCTCTTAATACATGCTATAGCATTTATATTTTGTACCACTCCAGTGGCTGTGGGATTAATACAAACTGTGGAACAAATGAGGATCATGGACTAAAATCTCAAATCAATAATAAAGTTGCACACTAAATAAAAAGTGCAAAACAAAACAAGTCCCCAATTTGAGAGATTGCATTGTAAACACAATAAGGTATAATAAAATGTGGCTGTAGAATACACCAGGAATCTAGCTGTGAGTATGAATTTCATAATCTTTAGATTATAGGGATGTAACTGGTTAAATGTTAGGGTAACTTAATGTTTAACCTGTTAACCAACTAAGCAGGATCTCACCTTTCCCCAGAGAACTCCCGCTTCTAACCCCACACTGGGGCTGAAGCTGCTGCCGGCTCCGGCGCTGGGGCTGGGGCTGCCTGCCAGCTTCCAGCCCCTGCAGTAGAGCTGGGTCTGGCTGTCAGAGCTGGAGCAGCCCTCCACCCACAGCAGACGAGAAGATGCTCCCAGAGAACAGGTTAATTGTTAACCAGTAAGCATCACTTAGTAAGGGTGATGCTTACTGGAGAACTGGTTACCCATTCACATACCTATTAAAATTACTATTATTCACAACAGTAGCAATTAAAGAAGAAAATGACTGAACTCCTGACATGCTATAGGATGTGATACACCCAATTATTTTATATAAACTGTGCAGTTTTGTAGAATGTTTTAGTAGCACATTTTTGACTCAACCTTTAAGTTGTGGGTGCACACAAATACAAATGAAGTAGAAACTAAGGATGTGCATGTGTGCGCGCTGCACACTCACGCATAACAATATTAATTCATCTATGGGTTTTTGTGTGTCTTTTTTAAAATAGTCTTGGGGGGGAAATAAACAAAGTGCCAGAAAAGCATAGACTAACTGGGGTGAGTTTTATTCTTAGAAATGTTGCTAAATCAGAAGAGTTCCAAATAGGCTAACATCCAAAGTAAGCAAGCATTTTCTTATTTTTGTTCTAGTAGCATTTAAAGTCCTCATGTCCCTTAAAAAATGTCAGTTCCCTCAAATGAGAAATCCTTCGTTATCGCAACCAGTGGTCAAGTTATGAACCCTTGAAAATGAATTATCAACGGAAATGCTGAATGTCATTTAACATTTTTAAATTACATACTCTTCAGTGCAGGAATTGTCAACATAATTTACCAGAAGTAGTACGAACAACACTAAATAAGGATATTAGTTTCATAATGTTAATATTTTTTCAGCCAAACAGTAAAATGAGGCAAAATAAAAAAAAGACCTTAACTTGTTTCGGAAATTCACTTTTAAGGGGGGAGGTATCACAAGTACAACCAGTAGATGGCAGTACATGTACAATTATTAGACTCCATGGCCAGGAAGAATAGCTTCTGCTGTAGGACCTAACTTTATAGCTTTATCTGTTTTTCAATATAGTTTTGTTTTCATTTAGATATGTGCCTTTTTGTGATTAAACTACAGAACATTCTGCTAAAAACTAAATCCAAGATAATTTGTTTAATGTTCCCTTGGAATGAAGGCCAAAGGGAAAATCCTAGTCTTAAACTCTATAAAACTCAAAGGAACAAGAATTTTAAAAAGTTATGTGGAAACACATTGTATGACTTACATGCAATAAATACAATCATATAAAGTTTATCAATTCAATTGGATATATGAAAATTTCACAAAACTCATGCAAAACAAAAACTTACACTGCCTATCATCCTCTTAGAATTGTAAACATTATTTAACCTATTTTCCTTATTAATGTTCCCTGAAACCCTTTTAAAGTCACCCAACATTTCTTTAACCTCTTAAGCTATATTAGAGAACAACCAGAGCTGCTTTTGGCCCTTCATGCAACACTACAACAAGGATTAACAAAACTTTTTAAAATTAACTGCATTATACATGTAACATCTACATGGATTACTACAGTGTCCTGCTTTAGGAAAAAGAAAATTGCCTGCAAGTATGCTCCTCTACTCACATTCAGAAAATATTGAATAGAGGATATTCCTGCCAATTACATTCAGAGGTAACATGTTTCACAGATTTCCTAACCAGTTAGAAACGAGTGAGAGGGCTATATCTATAGATGTTTTGCTGCCCCTTTTCAGCTTCTTGTGAAGCTGGTCTGTACAGTTTACAAAACAATTCAGTTATACTCACTCTTATCTGCCACCTCTTTAATCTCTTGCAATATCTCAGCCTCCATGATAGGATTGTTACAGATTTCCACCCAAGTTCCCTGAACACCTTTCTGTTCAGCTAATACAGTCAGCTTCTTCTGATTAGGAACCACAAAACTGATTACATAAGACTGATCACTAAAACAGGATGAAATGACAAGAAAAAAAAAACAACAGGCAAGTAAGAGGAATTTCAGATTGTCAAACATTACTTGAGTTTAAGTAAATATTTCCCTGTGCTTTCTTCTCCCTCTCCTCTCTACACCACATTACTTCATCTTTATCATGAAGTTTTTTCCTTAAGTGACTGGGTTTAATCAGTCTAATATTTAGATAGAATGGTCCAGAATCTCTACTAAATCCAATATCCAGCAATTTAGTGCAAGTAAAATCTCACTATCTACTGCTATGGGAAAGTGGAGGACTTTTCTAAAACCCATGCAAAATGTTTTGGATCAGGTTCCAAGCATCACGATAGACACTGCGTTAGTATTTTGACCGAAGGCCAAGGCCATCTATAAAACTAGAGGATTATACTTATGTTTAGTAATAGGGCTACTATTTTCAGTTTACCCTGCCCCTACTTTGGGGGTAGGGATGAGGGAAGTTAGTGGGAAATTAACACACACACACAGCTGATCCTGCACTCTCCCTATTCTAGGGCAGCTGGTTCTAATTACACTTGGCTTCCCATTGTTCTCTAAGAGCTGGTGTATGCAGAGGATTCTAATTTACACTTGGCTTCCCATTGTTCTCTTAAGAGCTGGTGTATAGCACAGTGCACACTGGTGTATAGCACAGTGCACAGCTATAGCACAGTGCACACTTACCCTCCTACTCTTTACAAAGCTTGCTAGGAACCAGGCCCTTATGTTAGATATGCATTAACCTGGGGACAGTATGAAACTGGGATGGAGGGGGAGGGCAGGATTGCAGCTTCAGGGGTATCTCCACTAAGAATGTTAAAATGTGTTTGTGTAAACATTTATCCGCTGAAATTCAGTGGATACACATTTACATGCTCTGTGGGGAAGGGGTAAGGTAGGAGCCAGAGCTTGTGGGGAGCCTCCTCCCTCCCCCACTGCCTCTGTATCAGAGGCGTGGGAGGGGAAGGGAGGGGAGTGGGCTCAGTGGAAGCCAGTATACACGGGGAGCCAGCTTGCAAAACAGCTTCCCACATGTACCATCTCCCACCTACCTCCCTCACCCCCACGCTGCTGCTCTCTATCAGAGGCAGCAGCAAGGGGGTAGGCAGCTCTGCGGGAGCTGGCACAAGCAGGGAGCCAATTTAAACACTGGAGGTGCCTCTGCTGCTTAGGATTAACCAATAAACCCAGGCTTATCAGTTAATCGTGTAAACAACTACTCGTTAACATCCCTAATTTCCACCCCCTTTACTCTTCTAGTGGTGTAAGAGGGCCTTAGTGTATGGGAGAACTAGGCCTACAATCTGTATCTCAGACATGGATTTTTGAATACCACAACGGAATCAAGCATTAAATAAAATGCCTCAATTAATCTGAGGGGAAGAGAAAAAAAATATAATGTAATTCTTACCTTTTGGCATAAGCACAGATATTGTCAATAAGTGGACAGTTCTTAAGGGCTGCCTCTACTTTACCCAGAGATACATATTCTCCTGCTTGCAACTTTACCAAATCTTTTTTACGATCTAGGAATAGTTAGAAAGGCATGTTGCTTTAAAGAAATTTATATTCCTCCATTTGTATATACTCAGTTAAATTATTTTAAGTATCACATTTTAAATATTTATTTCATTTAATGGAAGACACACACAAAAGTTAAAAAAGAACAAATGAATACCAAACAAATCACTTAAAAGCTGTTGGCATTTAATTTTTACAGAAATGCTATTTTAAAAAAAAATACTTTTTAAGAGTACTTTTCAAACTTGCAACTAACTTGAAAAGTCAATGTAAATCAAATTTTAGCAACTAACCTAATACTGAAAATTCACACTTGGGTTTTAAAGTGAAGGCCAAGTAGAGACCATAACTAAGATTATACCCAACAGCATCAATTTCAGGGACTGGCACAATCACTAAATTTCAAGAATGTGTTTTAACACCATCATTCAGTAAACTAGTGAAGTATGTAGCTTTAAGCAGGAATAACCCTACTGGCCTCAATGAAATTATTCATGTGTATTAAGTTATGCTCTTGCTTAACTAGCATTTAAATTGTCAAAAAGTGGAATGCTCCAACCTATGATCTGCAGACACCCATCAGGATGAAATTCTCCAATATCTCCAGTACAAAACCATCTCTGACCATTTTCATCCACAGAAAAATCTTCTGTCTTTTCCTCACTTTTAAAGTATCCCATAGACACATTAGGTCCCCCTATTATAATCTCTCCTCTCGGATTAGGCTCGTCTCTGCAAGTATAGCCCCCTAAAAAAGTCAGATAAGTAAAATTATTTTCACGTCAGAATTGTACAGTATACATTCCTCTCCCCAGCATATAGTGAAGAATCCACACACAAAATAAAACAGAAAAATATAAAGTATCTGTTTATCAAGAGATCACAAAATATTAATACCCAATTACATTATTACATCAATTTATGTGGGCAGCAGGAAAACAAGCTAGGTAACATTAAAACTAGTTACTTGGAGATCAAAATGTTATACTTTCACACATTATGCAATAGTGGGTCATGTATTCTCATGAGTCTGAAAGGTTTGATAGCTCTGCAGTTTGTTATCACTATGTTTGCTGTATTTCTTCAGGTTTGAACTCCAACTGATCATTTTGACAAGAACTGTACATATTCTTGTTTTACCAACAGCTTGAAATGTGCAGCCAAATTGACTGAAAGAATTAAATAGAACATGCTGGAAAAAAAATGGTCTCACCTTCTTGCCAGTCTCTCAATTTAATTTCACAGCAAATAAGAGGAGCCCCAACTCTGCCAGTGCTATAGTCAGAAACTAAGGGAAGTTAGAAAAGAACAGTAAGATGGTGTCCAAAGTTTTTTTTTCTTAAATCTGATAATACTGAAATGTAAAACAGAGAGCTAAAATAGGAAGGTAGCTATTAACTCACGTTATTCTCTAGCAGCTAAGAGCTACAAACATTGTAAGCCAGAGGTGGGGAACCCTTTTTGGGGTTGGGGGCAACTAACCCACACAAAAAAATAGTTGGGGGCCAGCCGCAAGTGAGAACAAAAAAACAAAACAAAAAAAGGTCAAACAAACCCCTGACTGACTTGGCCCCCCATGTGAGCAGGGGGAAAGGAGAAGGGGGGGAAAACAAACAAACAAAAACACACACACACACACACACACACACACACACACACACACACACACCGAGCCCAGTATTCTGTCTTCCAACAGTAGTCAATGCCAGGTGCCCCAGAGGGAATGAACAAAATAGTGATCCCTCTTCTGTCTTCACCCATTCCCAGGTTCTGACAAACAGAGCCTATGGACATCATTCCTACCCATCCTGGCTCATAGCTATTGATGCACCTATCCTCCATGAATTTATTTAGTTCTTTCTGGAACCCTATTAAAGTCCTGGTCTTCACAACATCCTCTGGCAAGGAGTTCCACAGATTGACTGTGTTGTGTGAATAAATACTTCCTTTTGTTTGTTTTAAACTCGTTTCCTATGAATTTAATTGGGTGACTCCTAGTTCTTGTATTATGGGAACAAGTAAGTAATTTTTTTCTTATTTACTTTCTCCATGCCAGTCAGGAGTTTATAGATCGCTATCATCCTCCCCCCACCCCCTTGCCCTTGTCTCCTCTTTTCTAAGCTGTAAATGTCCTAGTGTTATTCATCTCCCCTCATATGGCAACCATTCCAAACCCGTATTAATTTTTGCCGCCTTTTTCTGAACCTTTTCCAATGCCAAGATGTCTTTTTTGAGATGAGGCAACCACATCTACACACAGTATTCAGGATGTGGTGTACCATGGATTTATAGAGGCAATAAGATATTCTCCGTCTTATTCTCTATCCTTTTTAAATGACTCCTAACATTGCTTTTTGACTGCTACTGCACATTGAATGGATATTTTCAGAGTACTAGCCACAATGACTCTCAGATCTCTCTCAAGTGGTACTAGCTAATTTAGTCCCCATCATTTTTTTGTATGTATAGTTGGGATGTTTTCCAGTGTACATTACTTTGCATTTATTGACATTAACATTCATTTGGCATTTTGTTGCCGAGTCACCTAGTTTTGTGAGATCATTTTGAAGTTCTTCACAGTTTGCTTTGGACTTAATTATCTTGAACTGTTTTGTATCATCTGCAAATTTTGCCACCTCACTGTTTACCCCTTTTTCCAGATCATTTAGGACTATGTTGAACAGGACTAGTCCCAGAATGGTCCCCTGTGGGACGCTAGTTACCTCTCTCAATTCTAAAATCATTCAAGCTCCACCCCAGAGCTTAGGGGTACCAGGGCTAGTAGATTTTGTGGGCCGCTCAAGACTCTAGGGTCAGGCCAAAAATGAGGGGTTCAATGCACTGAAGGAGGCTGTCAGGAAGTGGGATGGGGTGGGGGGATGTGGGGTCTGGGCAGGGAGGTAGGGTGTAGGTGCAGTCTGGGGGGTCTGGACAGAAGGTAAGATGCAGAATTGGGCTGAAAGTGAGGAAGTAGGGTCTGGAAGGAACATAAAGCACAGGAGTGGACTGAGTGAAAGTGCAGGGTCTGGACAGGAGGGTGATGCAGGAGGGGGGGTGGAGGTTCAGGGGTCTGGGAAGGGGGTAGGATGAAGAAGCGGACTACGGGTGGAGGGCTACAGTCTGGAAGGGAGGTGCAGGTGCGGACTGAGGGGTGTGGGATCTGGAAAAGGGTACAGGAGCAGAGTGGAGCCCTGGATATGAGGGGGGTTCAGGAGTCAGAGGGGCTAGGGTCTAGATGGGAAGGGGATGGGGACACAGGCTACGGGGGGGGGGGGGGAGGGGTAGAGCCATGGCTCTGCGTGTCTGTGCTGCAGGGCACTGCCCCTGCTGTTCCCATTGGCAGTAATTAACCCAAAGGATCAACAGGGGATGGTGCCTGCATGGAGCACTTCCTTATCACATGTAGAGCCGCTTCCATCCTCTCAGGCATAGTCTGAAGACTGTAGGTTCCCCAACCCTGTTTTAAGCTGTACCTACAAATAAAAAATAATAATCACACATCTACATTAAAGGAGTGATTTCCAAGAGTACAACAACATACCTTCAGTAATTGTTCCAGCTCCACAGGTTTCGGTTAACCCATAACCCTGGCCCACAGGACAGCAGAAACAAATATTCATGAACCTCTGTGTCTGAGGCGAAAGGGGTGCTCCTCCAGAAAGCATCATACGCACATTTCCTCCTAGCAATGCTTTTACCTTTTTAAACAGCAGTCTGAGGTAAAAATAAAAACGCCATGTATAAATATTACTTGTTCTGCTCCATTGCAGGAAAGACTAGAGACTCTTTACCTATTCAGTTGACACATCTAACAATATTCACAGATTTAAAAGGCCCAAAAGGGACCATCGTCATGATAATTCCTGCATCTAGCCCAATACCTTGTGGTTGAAATAGAGCACTTCCTTTAGAAAGTAATCCAATCTTGTTTTTGTTTTGTTTTTTTAAATCCAGTAATGGAAAATTCATCACATTTCTAGTTAATATTTTTCAGCGATTACTTGCCTTTACTGTTAAGACTTTCATCTCATTTCCAGTCTGAACTTCTCTTCTTTAAGACTTAGTGGCTCTTGTTATGCCTTTGTTAGACTGGAATACTCTAGTATCAGATCACTTACACAAAGACAAATGCTTATAGACTGTGATTAAGTCACCTCTTAATCTTTTATAAATTATATACAGTGAAAGATATTTGAACTGTTTACTATACTTACATATTACACAGAGGTGCATCATAACCTCTTTTGATCTGTTCTAGTTTATAGTCATAACCGATCTTGAATAGAGTTCTCTGAATATAGTTCATCTCTTGGACTTTACTCATGACGTTCTTGTAAATTCGGTCCATTATTTCCTTCAGAGAAGATTAAAAAGGGAACAAAGAATTACTTATTAAAAACATGCATCAAGCCTACATGCTAAACAAAATAAGAAAAGTAGTTCATTTTGAATGGATGATTTCATTTTAGCTATGCAGTCTCCGCCAAATTGTTGTGTACTACTTAACATTTTCCCTTAATGTGTCATCTATTTAATGAATTTATATTCTATTCCAGCTAGGAGCTATCCAAGGTGGTAGAATGTTTGGAAATGTGTAATGGGGAAGTGAATGACAAGGTCACATTTTTTCCTTTCCTCATTCCTTCCTCCTCATAAATCTGTTTCAAGTTATGAAGCTGATTGACTAGATAGGAAAGAAAAAAAAAATCTCACATTGCCAAACTAAAAGGATTTGCTATCTAGTTTTATATTGCTATAATCAGTCTATACTTCAGGTAGCCAAAATTACCTCAGACTATTTAGTTCTCTCTTCCACTATTTAACAGTACCAATGACTCACTTCTACAAGCTTCATCTTAAACCTTGGACTCTTTTTTAAACACTCTTCACTCTTAGCCCAAGTTTGAAGGAGTCTTCTCCATATTAAAGAGAAGCTCGATAATTCTCTATATAAAATATAGCATACTTCATGATTTCTAAAGTTATGATATACATTAAAATAAGACAAAAAGCAATAAACACAAAATTCTAAATTAAACTTTAAGCAAATCCATTTGAATTTGGTTTCAGTTAACATGCCATGCCAGATCAGTCATTTTTGAGACTCGAAGTACTTTGTATGCTACAGTTGGCAAACAACATTAAGAGCAGAACACAGAAGTCTTAAGTCACTTTCTTTTGTAGGAGCAGTTTTTCTCCACAACTTTAATGAGATTGCAAGAATACTCTTGAGCACATAGAATCATAGCATGATGTCATCAAACTACGTAAAACAACAATCTTACATCACCAAAAGTTTTGGTAAGCTTTTCACTTGTTTAAATGGAAACTGAAATGACATTAGGGAATAATTTATTACAAAGGCCCTTAAAAACATTCAGTCTCCACCCTAGATTATTTCAATGGACTCTGCCACAAAAATTGTATTTCTGATGGTACTGGATTCTTTGCAACAAGAAAGGAAAAATTACAGTACATATATGAGTTTCCAATATTTTCCTTTCAAAATACCGAAAGCATGAAGTCAGTATTAAAGATTTACTGAAAACTGTCCAGATAAATGATAAATGAACCAGATATAAAAGCTGGATTTTTTTAATGTTTTTATGTAAAATCTAATCTTTTTCTATCAAGATCCAACTCCTCTTTTATATTAACTGTGATGTGCTAAAATGTCACTGCAATGTTGTTAGATATTTGGGAATGTTGTGAAGTGAATATATGGAAAAATAGTAACATCCCTGATAATCATGTCCTCTGCCTTCCCATACTTACAGGCACAGCTGCTATGAGTGTTGGCTTCAGTACAGTACAGTCTCCTTTACTTCCTTTCTTAATTTTACTTGACTGAAATAAAGAAAAATAATGTGAAGATGTCAAGCTAAAACACTGGTGACTGGCTAGGGTAGAATAAAAAAGAAACAAGCGATAACCTAGTGTGCACTTTCTGAAGGACTCCCTTCTCTCCTTTCCTCCCCAGATTATTTTCTCAGTGGGGTGGAGCAGAAAGGTGTGTTGTCAGACTCATCTCATGCCAAATATAGCTACTGAATCAAAGCCTGTTAGAACAAGCCATGTTATATGTATCTTTGCTTTATTTTTTTTAATTTTATTTATCCTTCTAGCAGTTTCCTTTGTATGGTGTGGGGATGTAAGTGGTTAACTGGTTATCCAGAAAGCAGTAGGTTTATTGGCTTTCGTACCCAGTAACTGGTTAACCAGCCTGGGTGGAGCATCCCCCTGCCTGCAACTGCGAAGGAGCCAGTTAGAGCAGCTCCGTGGATGAAGCAGGCCCAGACAGGGGATCCTATCTATGGTGGGCTTGGCTGGCTGGAGACCCCACCAGCAGGAAGGGGTTAGCTACTTCAACAAATCTTTACAGGTTAACTATTTTAGTGGGTTTTTACATTCATAACATGGTGTGCCTTCAAGGGAGAAGATTTTTTAATAAGAATTAAGTTATGATGATCTCTATAGATCCATCTGACATGTGATTTGTTCTTTTCTTGGTTCCTCAATGATTTTAAGCTGTGCTTCTTCTGGCTAGTTTGCATAACAAACTTGCATTCATTTTCTCTTCTACTTTCATAATAAAGCTCAAAATTTAGATAAAAATGCATATTATAAGCTCAAAATTTAGATAAAAATGCATAGATAAAAATGCATATTATGTGATTGGTCATACAGTTTCACCAGGAGCTTAATTTTGTTTGTTGTTTCATTTTCAGAAGGTACCACTGCTTTGACATCAACTGCATTGTAAATCATATTTTCGCAATAAAAATAAAAAGTACAGCCAAGATTTTTGCTTAACCATTGTGCTGAAAGTTTTTCCTCACCTGGTCCGATAGGGTGAGTGGAGAGGAATATCCAATCCTGCAGCCATACGTAACGCAGGAAATTTCTGCTGTCAATTCTAATACATGAGCTAGAGGCAAGTAGCCAACGTAAGTGTCCCTGGGTCTAAGCAAAGCAAGGATTATATATAATTAACCCCGGAGATCCAAGAATAAGTTGAAAATACTTCATCTGGTCTATAGGGTATTTGTATATTTAGTTACAGAAAAAAGGATTACTAGTTTCCCAAAAGACTACATCATAACAATTCACTACTGGAGTATATTTTCCTTTATGCAACCACACTGAGAAATCTCTAAGCTCAAGATTTGAAACTCTCATTGCAGTTTATATGAGTTTTGTCACTAACTTCAACAAGGTCAGGATTTCACCCACTGATTCTAGCTGGAGTCTTGCAGTTCTTAGTGTTCCAACTGCCTTTTCCTTTCCAAGTGGGAGGTTCCCAATTACCAAGTTAAGGCGGAAGCCAGCTTCTAGCCTGATAACCAAAGCCCATCCACCTTCAAATCTCTTCTCTGCCCTGCCTCCCAAAAATTCATATTAGTACCGCATCTTAAAAGATTTTAGCAGAAGGTAGATCAATCACTAGATTCTGAAGGCCATTCATTTCCAGACCTTGAGTTGAACGCTATCAGAATGGTCCAAAAGAGAATTTTCAGCCTCCCAGCTAGAAACACATAAATATCCCATGATGAAGGGGTTTCTTCTCTGTGGGTTGTTTCAAAGGTGCCAGTGCCCCTTGTGAACGTGCTGAGAAGGGGGTGTAGGCATATCAATTTATCCTTCAACACACTGAAGAACACTCATGAAAGTCTGCCATTACTTTGCTACTGAATAGCCAAATCTTTAATAAAAATCATTTAAAAATGAATGGCCAAATTAGTTGTCAAATGAAAGTGAACTTTCTGACATGAGCAAGGTAATGAAGCAGATTATGCGTAGCACATGTAGAAGGATCTACATGGGTTAGGGATGTCAATGGGTAACCGACTACATGCTTTACAGATAAGCCTGGGTTTATCAGTTAATCCTGTTGATTTCACACATTCCCCCTCTTCCTCCACTATCTCTATGAGAGGCAATGGGGAGAGAGAGCTGGTGCCTGTGAGGAGTGGCTTTTAAACTTGCTCCCCACAAGCACTGGATCCTCCATCTCTCTTACCCCCCCACGTTGCTGCCTCAGAGAGAAGATGAGGGTGACCGGTGGGAGCTGATACATGTGGGAAGCCAGCTTTTAAGTGGCTCTCCATTTGTGCCAGCTCCACGAACCCACCAGCCCCCCCACCTTGCTGCATCCTACAAGGCAGGGGCAGCTCCCAGGAAGCAGCTTCTGTCCATAGCGGGCCTGGGCTCTTCGCTAACAGCCGTGCTGGAGCAACCTGGAACAGCTTCTATCCATGCGGAGCTTGGACCGTCACACGGACGGGGCTGCTGCCGCCTCTGACAGAATGGCAGGGGGCTCTCCAGGAGTGGAGTTGGGAGTTCACTGGCTGCCGGCCCCACTCCCGGGGACTTACAAGACTTTTTGAAACAGCCAAAATGTGATGTAATTATACGACTATTCAATTATACACTAACATCCCTAATATAGGCATGGTCTCCTTAGACCCCTGGAACAGGCAGGCCGTTGGGAATTCCTTGTATTTATCTTATCTGCTTAACGGCTGCTATTTGAAAACCATCAGCCTCTGCATTCCACTCTCTCAGGACTCATGCGGATAGGGTTAACCAATAAATAATCTACAAGCAGATACTATGTGCAAAAATATGGTCACACTCTCCCTACAGTGATAATTTATGATGAATATCTTGAAAGTGCATCTCAGGGTAAGATATAACTAAAGAAGCCAATATTGTCGTCTTCTATATTTTTTAATATCAGTAGTAGAAAAATTGTAACAGAACTAAAGAGCTAGAGAAACACTTGGGCTATATCTACACCGTACCTCTCTTGAGCAAAAGCCTATGCAAATGAAGCACAGATTAGCATACTGTAGCGCTTCAACTGCATAATTAATTAGGGGCGTTTTTGCGCAAGAGGGTTTTGTGCAAAAAGGAGCAGTGTAGACTGTTCTTTTGCGCAAAACCCCCCTCTTGAGCAAAAGCCGTTCTTCCTGAAAAAATAAGGAAGAACGGCTCTTGCACAAGAGGGGGTTTTTGTGCAAAAAGAAGCTGTCTACACAGCTCTTTGAGCAAATGCCCCTTGCGCAAAAATGCCCCCTAATTAATTATGCAATTGAAGCACTATAGTATGCTAATCTGTGCTTCATTTGCATAGGCTTTTGCTCAAGAGAGGTGCAGTGTAGACGTAGCCTTACAGTTGTATACAAAAGCACGATAAATTCAAAGTGATTACAGAAATATCAGTTCATGTATGAAGTATGTAAGATTAGTGGATAAAAAACAGGAATTGCTGAAGTTCATACTTTTAAAAGAAATAGTCACCGAAATATCAAAATTATACAAATGATAGGCTTTATTCCAAAATAGTCACCGAAATATCAAAATTATACAAATTATAGGCTTTATTCCAATTAAAACAAAATTATATTTTATTGATATATGTGACAACTGAGCATCTCTTACCCTAGTCCAGGTATTCTCTCACACTGGCCTGTCATTCCAGCTATCAAGTTCTTATGCATCATCATCACTCCTTTAGGTCTCCCAGTAGATCCACTAGTATACATTACTAAAGCCAGGTCTGTGGGTACAGGTGTGCTTGGAAAGATATCTACTACAAAAAAGATACAAGAGGGGGAAAAAAAAATATTTCACCTGAACAGAAATGATTACTTCTAAGATCAACTAAGAGATTAATTGGAAGTATGATCAAACTAACTTAAATGGTCTTCATAAACGAATGACAAACATAGTTAGTGATGCTCTATTGACAAGTAGTCCAGGAAAAAAAGAAAAAAAGTGGCAGAACCTGTTTGGGATAACTTCCAGCAGATTCAATCATGGCAATAGGTAGACTAGAGATAGATTTGGCAAAAAGTGTAATGTTATTGCAAAGTTTCACTAGACAAACCTAAAAAATTCCTAAAGTGAAACCCTTTATAATAATGCCTGGGAGAAGAGCTGAAAAGGCTGATACTTTAAAGTGATGAGGAACTAACTCATATCAAGTTTTCTATCAGTAATAGCTCTAAAGCCAGGGTTGCAGAAGTTAAAACACATGGTAGTTTTTGGTTTTTATACTTCCAAATGCAGGATGCCTTGAAAGAAATCTCATACTTGGTAGAAAAGGGAGTTTTATAATCCCAGAAGCCAGTATATATTGATGTAATAAACTTTTAATTAAAATAAACTAAGCTTGTTTTAACTCAGTTTGCTTCTTTTGTCTAGTTATGGTGAAAACCCATAATCATCAGGCTGATGACTTTGCAGCAGCAAGGGAAGCAAAGGTGGGAATGTAGGGACATTTAGGGGAGTTCTCAAAAAAAAAAACCACACCACACCCACACCACCCCAAAACCTCTCTCTAGTCCTGTGGCACTGGTAAGAAGTTCCAAGAAATCATCAGTTTACGGAGTACGTAGTTCTACTGAGTGTGTGCTATCTTACATAAGCCTCCTGTTCCTGCCAACCAACTCCATTAACCGCTCACATCTTGTAATACAGAGGAGCTGACAGACAAGCAATGCAGACCTTGGTGTCAGGAAGTAAATCCTCATGATTGCTCACTTCCTCCTTAAGGAAGCTTGTTTCTCATGCCAGACATCCAACTGCAGTTCTCAGGGATTAGATGAGGGAGTCCAGTGCTTATTCCCCCAGCCTTAGTAGTTTTTTAGCTACAAAAACTGGCCAGAAAGATTTTTCTAAAACAAATGCTCATCACTGTCATTGGGAAAGAGAAGAAAATAGTGATGGGTATTTTTAAAACACTCTTTTAAAAAAGCACAACAGAAGACCCAACCAAACATGGCCTTCATTTTATGACCTTCCTTTATTTTAAAAAGTGAGCTCAGTCGAACTATGGTATTCACATTCTAAAATTAATGTAATGGAATATCTGAAACATCCACTTGGGACAAGGTAACATTAAGCTAACAGAAGCAAACAAAAAATATTTTATTTCTAGTTTTCCACATATTTAAAATTATTGAGTTGGACAGGAATTTCTTCTACAGTAAATGCTAATTCCTTTTTAGATTAAATGGGCATACTTCTTCTCTCCTACATATCCCTCCAAATCAAGTTTAATCATTTACTGAACAGCTTGAGTAATCCTAATTTGGTTCACTTACAATTTTCTGGTTTGGCTCCTAATTCTTCTACTGTCTGCATACTATGAATCTCTAGTCCTTCAGGGTATTCAGATTTATTGATAGTCTTCTTATCCACATAAATGATATGTTTGAGAAATGGGATTTCTGACAATGTAGTCTGTTGAACAAAGGAAAGTTAGAACTTACCGTACATATATTGTAAGATTACAGTGAAATATAATCAACAAAAAAAAGTTGTTCCCAACTTACCTTAAGTTTACTATCTAGAAGTTCTACACTAGTGATTAGATATGATACTCCAGATTCATTCAGCCCATAGGTTACTGCCTCTTCACCAAGCGTGGCATATAAAGTAACAACTGTTTTAGAAATAAATAAAGACAAGTTTAAGAGCAAAGTAAAACAAAGCAAAAGCTTCTGAACGAATATAATTTAGTCAGCATTTACAGAAGGAGCACTTTTCATCTGCAATCCTTTCCCACTGTAGAATAAAAGCAGCTTTTAGTTTTTCCAGGATGGAATTTTATGTAAAGAGTTTATGGTTATGATAACAATTGTATGGAAAGAGGAAAAAGTGTAATGTCAGTCAAAACACTGCATGATAAGCAACTGAAAACAAATCTGTGCTCTTTCCAGTTTTACACACAGAGAGAAAATGTTTTAGGAGAGCTGAGTGCTTAGGATCTCTTCTATTTCTCTGCTTCTATAACCCATTCTTGGAGCTTCATACAGGAGAAGAGCTAGTCTGGGTTTCACATTTACTAATTAATTCTCTAAGCCCTGGTCTACAGTAGGGGATAAATTCTAATTAAGATACGCAACTTAAGCTATGCAATTAATGTAGCTGAAGTGGAAGAATCTGAACTTAAATTTTGGCGCCATCCACACTGCAGGAAGTCGAAGGGAGCACACTCTCCCTTTAACTTCCCTTACTTCTCGTAGAAGCAGAACTACTGGCATCGATGGGAGCACCCTCTCAGTTTCAATTAGTGTGTCTTCACTAGACCCACTAATTCAAACCCTGGAAGATCGACTGCAGCTGCTTTGATCTTATCTGTAGCGTAGATATCACCTAAGAGAACAATTTTTTAGTGTAAGGAAACACCTCCAATACAGCATTAAAATGGGGAGTTAATACTAGTCATGTAAAATCCCAGTTAATCCGTTAAGCTGTTAAACGGGATCCTGTACAAGGTGAGGAGGCCAGGCTATGCTTTCCCCGCTTACACAATTGGTGCTGCCACCCTCCCCGCCAAGCATGGGGCTGCCAGCTGTCACTGCTGCCCCTCCCCCTATGGGGCTGGAACAGTCCTTTGCCCAATGTGAGTGGCGGGCTACTTCTGGATACCAATTAACCTGTAGCCAGTAAGCATCACCTATTAAGGATGATGCTTACCGGTTAACCGATTAGCTGTTCACATTTCTAATTAATACTCCCCATCACCATAATCACACATCTTCCTATTATCTCTGCTATTCTACTCGACAGATCATAAACTGCAATTTTAACTATATTTCCCTGGGGTGACAGCGGTCTATCATCCCCTTTCATAGTCTTTGCCAAATCACCCTTTCCCACAAAACCATTACACCAGCAGTTCTCAAACTGAGTCAGGACCTCCTTTGAACAGGGTATGACGTAGTGGGGTGGGTACCTTGCTGGTTGCTATGCTGGGCAGTGGCTGTGAGTGACCTCCACTAGCTGCAGCACGGCCCAGCAGGGCAGGGGATGAGTCATTATGCAAGGGGGCTTCTGAACCTGTCTGACGAGTTCTTCCCCACGGAGCGGAACAATGGGAAGAAGGGGAGTGGAGCCCTGGCTGGGGGCAGGGCTGGAACTGAGTGAGTTAGGTTTCTGGCTGGTATCATGGAGGAAGGGTTAGTTTCTGTCTGGAATCATGGAGGAAGCAGCCTGAGCAAAGGGGGGCTGGGATTTAGGGGCCCAGTCTCCCCCATCTTAAGGGGGGCTGAGGCATCCTAGGCCTGGCCCTGTAACCAGATTACATCTGTGCTGTATCCTGGAGAAGCAATAAACTCCCTCTATTCTACTGGCTGGTGGAGTCTGTTCGTGCCACTACGGGGGTGCAGGAGTTGGGAGACCCTGACACGTCATCACACAGGGTTGCCAGGGCTGGCTTAAATTTGCTGGAGACCAGGGCTGTAGCCCCAAACCCCATTGCCTAGCGCTAAAGGCAAAGTCCAAGGGCTGTAAGTGTCAGGACCAACACTGCAGGTCCCTTGAGTTTCAGCTTTGGCTCCTCCACTCCAGGCAGTAAAGTTTGGATGGCCTCAGGCTTCAGTCCCCAGGCCTTGGGTCACAAAGTAATTTTTGTTGTCTGAAGGGGGTTGTAGTGCAGTAAGGTTTGAGAACCCCTATATAACACTGAACAGATTCAAAACTAGTAGTGTTTGGGGGAAAGCAGAGATTCAGTGAATACAGAAAAATGAAAAGGGGGCAGAATTCATATTGTGGGGCATAGTCTGTGTTGGATAGAAGTGATAATGGTAAAATGTGCGTGTGCATGTGTAACAATCCTAACTACTTCACCATGAAGTTTGTGGTGTATTAATATGGTAAGGATTGTGCCATTTTTCTTTCAAAAGTACTGCATGTGTCTTGTACATTGATTAAAGTAACACTTCTCAATTCCACCCAATGTCCAGTCTCTACCCTGGCAAATCAAGTGAAAGAAGCAATCAATAAAATAGCATTTATGTATGTTTCAGTTACAAACAAAATTAGTTAGCCACAAATATTTGATAAACAAGTCAAAGGGTCCAAGTAAGTCACAGTATTTTGTCTTTACACCTGCTGTAGAAATGGTAATTTGTCTTTCTTGACCTCTAAAATGTGAAAGTCAGTTAATTCTAAAAGTACTTCTATAATAGGCTAAAAAAGTTAGTCTGACTAGCTTCTTGTTAATTTTTGGGATCGCTGTTATAACACATAGTTTATATGAAAACTGAACATAAATTAGGACTCTTCACTTTCTTCCAAAATTTTGTTGAACAAATGCTGTCCCAGAAATATGCAGATGGTCATATTAGAGATACCTATCCATAAAGAACGGACCTGACAGTGAGGGAGATTTTTCTAGAAATATAGTCAATGCAAATGCAACTTTAGCACTCACGAGGAAAGTTGTATTTCAAGCAGGTTTGTGCTGCAATCATCCACTCTGCTCGGGTCTCACAGAATATGGCAATGGTACTTTTCGGCTTTAGTCCTTGCGCAGTTAGCCCTCTCCCAAAATTATTCACTCTCTGATTAACTTCTTCATAGTTCAACCATCTATAGTTTCCTAGGATTAACTGGAAAAAAGTAGAAGAACTTTGTGATAATGACATTAAGCTGTTTGTGTACATATTTGCACCTATTATTTGCTAGTATGTTTTCACATACCAGCTTATATACTAGGGACGTAAGCGACTAGTTGACTATCTGACAAGCATATGCATGTTGTATAGTTGAGAAATCACTCGACTAGTTGTCCCCCCCCATCCCCCGCCCTGCTCTTGCTGCCTCTATCAGAGAAAGGCAGCAGGAGGGACAGGGTGAAAGGGGAACGGGGCAGGCAGAGGCCTAGCCGGGGACTTGGGTGCGAGCTAGGAATCAGCTGCCCCAGCTTTCTCCTGGTCCCCCTTGCTATACTTCTGGTTTTTAAATGTATTAAGAGTCTGGCAGCTCTTAATACATTTAAAAAGTAGAGGTGCAATGTCTGGGACCAGGCACAACTTGGGAATCAGTCAGGAGGTATGTAGATTAGGTTTCTAGACATAGGGAAATGAAGCAGCGATTTAAATAATCGCCGCTTCATTTACATCAAAATGGCTGCCACACTGTGCCGATCAGCTGTTTGGCAGCACAGCGCAGCAATCTGGATGCTCCGCGGTCAACAAGGGAAGCCCTTGTCAACCACCCTGTTATGCCTTGTGGAATGAGGTTTACCGGGGCGGTTGACAAGGGCTTCCCTTGTCGACCGCGGAGCGTCCAGACTACCGTGCTGTGCTGCCAAACAGCTGATCAGCACAGCACGGCAGCCATTTTGATGTAAATGAAGTGGCGATTATTTAAATCACCGCTTCATTTCCTTTTTTTAGAGTACACTAATCTACATGGCTCCGTCAATGGAGCCATGTAATCTAGACGTACCTCTGGAGGCTCTTAATACATTTAAAAGGCAGAGCCGCATTAGGGTTAGTTCCCGGGGCTGGATGCTAACCCTGTTGCAGCTCTGCAGTTTCCCCCCTTATCGACTATCGAAATTCCATCAACTACTAGATTAGCTAATTACACACAATTTAACGTCCCTAGCAAATACAATCATTTTAAAGGTCATTCATCTCACTTCTGCTGAGCAAAAATATTAACAGCATGTATTACAGCTGGACTTCTTGAACTACAGTTAAGCATCCAGTTTTACACCATAAAATGTAAATTGTAAATAATATAAAAGGGGCCGGCAATAGGTACTTTATTCTTAAGACACAAAGCTTTTGATATTACAGAATTCAAGCATTCAAAACTTTAAAGATTACCTTTTTAAATACTTTTCCATTAGGTTGCATTTCATTCTCTTCACTCAGTATTTCTCTGGTCCCAAGGCAGTCCTTCTTCCCAAACTTTGCTACAGCATGGTCAAACAACTTGTCCAAAGTGTCCGCTCCAGGGGTGTCTATGGTTGCTAGTGACTCAAGGTGAGTAACAGCACGGTATGGACTTCCAGGGTTGTCGGAGATGGGTTTTGCTTTTAAGCGTTTTGCCATAGTCTTTTTCTTCTTCACATTAGTAAGAAAATACCATGGAATAAATACAAGGGCACTGTACACAGATATTAAGAAGTACACAGGGAGCAAGAAAATGGCACATACTTCTTGTCTAAGTTTCATAGTGGACAGTTTAAAAAAAAGTTTCTCTATCCTTTGGGTTCAGAGAATCTTGGATCTCTGAAGAAGGCAAGAGCAGAAGCAGCAGTAAGTGGCAGTACATTCAAGGAAACAATAGTAAATGAAGCTTAGATAGCTCAGATTTAGAGTAAAAGCTAAAATATCAGTAACCTTTGGAAGTCAGATTCCTATGGGTGAAGATCGCAGCCAAGCAGAGAGCAGGAAAGAAAAGAAAAAGAACGTTTAGCAAATTAGTGACACCAGGAATCAGTCCATTAGCTTCAAACCTTTATGATTTCAACCCAACATGCAGCAAGACAAAGGAGACTGAAGTATCTGGTTTGAGAGGCAGATGAGCAACTGGTTTTGAGAGGGATCTTTTCCTTATTTATTACCTCCACAAATATTTACTCTTAAGGTCCCTGCTCCACCCCCTTTGTTTAAATGATTCTGGTCTTTTAAAGTGCACTGTGTCCTTTACATATATCAAAATATTGTGTTTCTAAGCTAGTTGAGCAATCCTAAAGTTGCAATCCTGAAGCTGAGTAACTATGGTAAAAGGTCAATAGCTTTTTTTCTTAAATATTTTTGTTAGGGCTAGAAAGATGTTAGTGCTTTTTTATAACTTTCACAAATAAAGTTAAGTCAACTTAGTGTTCAGAATACAGCATATTTACTTAGAATCCTCAAAATTATATATAATTTTTTAAAACACAAACCATAGATCTAAGTAATATACAAGATTCTTATAGCTCCTCCTCTAACATTACTGTACTTTGGCAACTGCTTTTACTTTAAATCATGCCTGAGAAGCTCTATTTAATGTCAGGTTTCTGTGTCCAATTTATCCAGACTTGATTTATGAGGCAATGACACACATTTACAGACTTCTGGAAAAAAAAGTCCAACTCATCTTCCATCACAAAACCAGAATAAAATCTTGAGGTATTTGACAGTGATTCCACAGGAATCTCTCCTGAGTAGGGACTGTAAAAATCAGAGCTATGAGAGGACTAGTATATAGATATTAAAAAATAAACTGAACATTCCACTTTGTTTGGGGCAATTCAGTGGCCTAACACCAATATTTTGCTTTGATGTGTGGGAGATATGGATTCAAGTACAGTATTTAACCTTTGCTTCCTTGTCAGATTAAGGTTGCAATTGCTGTGGAGGCAATGCACACAGCCTCAGGGAAGCAAAGAAAAGGGAGCATTTATCAAAAAAAGCTCTTCCAACACACTGGGAGCAGGGCTGACTGATTTAGAGCAAGAATTGTCATCTCCCCATCTGGCTAATGGATGTCTGATTAAGAGACTTGAGGATGAGGGAGTTCTCTCAGGACACATCAAGAATGGAAAATGTATAGACATACCAAGGAATTTATTCTATGTAGTTTATACACTTTTTCACTGCCTCAAGTGAGGGAGGGTGACTAATTTCAATGTTTGTTTAAAAAAAAATAACCATCAATAACGGCATAAGCACTAGAGACACCCATTAATATGGAAAATTACATTTTCTTCAGCACACAAAGTAGTATCCATTATGTATAAGCACCATCTGATTGAAATAATGCATGAGATTTGTAGGAAGAGGCCATGATATATGGCAGGAAAGTAGTAGTGCTTTCATTCTACAGAATAATTTAAAAAGTGCATATTTAGCAAATAAATTCAGTTGGTCACAGGTACTATGCTGAATTCTGACAAAAGTACAGAATTCCCCTCTACTCCAAAGTGAATTACATGTTTTCTCACCAAGATTTAAGTACAGTGACATCTGTCTTGCTTAGTCACTGAAATCACTACTTTAGATGCCCATCCCTGAGTTAAAAGATGGGAGGTTAACAATTTTTGGTGGGGGGCCATTAAGAGTTTGGTAAGTGGTCAAGAGCCGAACTCTTCTGTGGAAGTGTGGAGGTCTAGAATGGAGGTTGGGTACAGAAGGGCGCAGGGCACTGTGTGAAGCCTAAGAGGGAGTTTGGATGAAGGAGGGGGTTGTGACCTGGGACAGGGGATTGGGGTGTAGGGTCAGGGATGGGGTATGGGTGCAGGGGACGATTTTGGCCCAGAGCAGGGGGTACAGGGTCTTGGAGGGAGTTGTGAGCTGGGACCGGGGGTGCAGAAGCGTTTGGATTGTGACCTGGGGGAGGAAGTTGGAGTGCAGGGATGGGGCGGGTGCAGGAGGCAGGCTCTGGCTGGGAGGCGCTTACCTAAGCGAATCCCAGACAGCAGACCTGCAGCACCCCCAAGGCAGGCTGGGCTCACTGCCTGCTGCAGCCCCAGTTTGCTTGAAACTGCAGGTGACTCCCAGCTCTGGGAGGGGGAAGAGGCTTGTGTTGCCCCCATCTCCCAGGCCAATCTCTCAGCTCCTATTGGCTGGTTGTGTCCAACCAACAGGAACTGAGATTGGCTGAGGTCAGTTCCTAGTGGCCATGTGTTTCTGGCCAATAGGAGCTGAGGACTGGGCTGGAGGCAGGAAGATCATGTGAAGCCTCCCTCAAGAGCAGAAAGGCACAGGGAGCAGCCCAGTGCTTAGATCAGCAGCTGCTGCATGCTTGAGAGTCCTGGCAGGGTGTCCACAGGACTTGGCAGGCCGTATCCGGCCCGCAAGAGGTATCTTGCCCATCCCTGCTTTAACTCATCTCAATGTCAACAATTTGAGTACAGTTCTGCTTCACTTTTATTAGTTAGCCATCTTCGTGAAACACTCTGTAGGATAGTCACCGAGGTGTTGCTTAAGACAGGTATCACTATATTGGTACTGTAAGAAGTGCACCACTGTAGCTGCTCAGCAAACACAGCATAACACAATAATTCTTGCTGTATTACCAGCCACTATTTGAATTACATTTCTGTGTATTACATCCAAGTTACTGTATATTATGTAGGACCTATTTTAATCTAAGTCTTTTGAAGGAAGCCCTAAATATGTCTTGCACACTAACTTCAGTCACTTTAAATGAAGGGCAGACATGTGTTATATTAGTCGTCTCACAAGGCATGTCGATAATTTCATTCCAGTTACTTTAGTCAGAGTGTTTCCAATTAGCTTAATTTGTATATATAAATTAAAATAAGCTTTAATCCGAGCATTTCTGCATAAGATCCAGTGCACGGTATTTAAACACCACACAATGTAATAAAACCAGCACTGAGAAGGGAATTCTCAGTATTTCCAAAAGACAAATGCATGCAACATAGCATGGTGAGCATATCAGAGAATAGGATTACAGCAGGCCAACACAATTTTTCAAGGCACAATTTAGTTTCCTTACCACTGAAACCAGCATGACTACTTGTAAAGTGTTAATTAGCCTAAGTAAAGGTGACAGAACTGGGACTTGAGAAATCAGAAATCAATAGGAGCAAGGGTCAGTCTAGTCCACTGACAAACATCTGAGATTGA